TTCTTTATAAGAAGGTATTATTATTTCTGACTAGTAAGAGTATTTCTTTGTAAATAAACATCAGCTGAACTGGCATCCTTCGTCTCTTTGAATTCTACCTTTTCTAGCAGTTGCACGGAAAGCACTGTACAGCTATATTAATCTGACAAACACTATACGTAAAAATAAAAAACCACCCATAACACAAAACCACAACAACCAACCCCAAAACAAAGAAGCAAACAACCTCCGCACTCACCAACAGTTACCAAAAATAGTGTAGCGGGACATAACCTCATCAAGGTGAAGGAGATATGAGCTGAGTATTAAGAATTCATTAGAGTATGCTGAATTAGCATAAGGAGCTTCCAGAAAAAAAGCGCATTGGTTTCAGAAAAACCTGTTCAGCTTAGTATAAAAGAATAAAACTGTCACTTTTGCTTTATAGTTACTGAGCCTTTTTGCTGTACTAAGATTATATCTCCTTAATCAATGTAGGAATAAATATACTCTACCTGAATTTATGTGAAAAGTAGACTCACATCATCATTTGAATTAGTTAGCTAAGGCTTATGGAAAACCTAATAAAAAGGTACTTGTGCTAAAACAATAGAAGTGTGCAATTTGCTGTATGAAATAGGAGAACACACGTTTTGTGTGTTACATGGGTGTTTTAGTAGCTGTGTTCAGTTGTACTGTTACGACAGAATTCTAAGTTGAGTAGGGTTAAAGTCTTAGAGGTGATATTTGGGTTTTGCTGATTTAAAGAAACTTTAATGACTTTTCAAGTTTAACTTGAAAAATAGGGAAGTATTATTTGAGAACTGATGGATTATATGAACTCGAACACTGACAATAGGTTATATAGAAATAAAGGGCTTTTTGCCTTCCAAAAAGTTATATTTCTTTGTGCCAAAACACAAGACTTCTAAGTGTCACAGAGACTTTAAAGCTTTGCCTGACAAGGGATGAATTAACAGTGATGTTGGATTTGTGAAGCCAAATAAAATACTTTTGTTGTGACCGTTAATTGAAAATGAATCTTTGTGGGACTGTGCGACAATCTGTCAGCTGGGTTGTGACGAAGGGAACAAACCATTTTATGGAGGCCTTTCAGCTTATTGTAGGAAAAGGTCACATTCTTCAAGGTTTTGCCTTGTAGGGTTGAATTTCAAGCTACTTTCTCCTTTATTGTTCATGAAGACAGTTAGCATTGTTTACCATCACAAGGCTTGAGAAATGCAAATTGAGCTGTAGTATTTTTAGATGCAGAACTTTTAGTGGAATTTATTGCCTGTTTGCTGTAATGAAGGACTAGTTAGCTGAGCTAACTCACGTTCGCTACAGGCTACGTCACAACTTGCTGTGTTGCCATAATTCTAGCTAACAAGCTCGAAATACAGAGGTAGAGCAGACAAAAGAGCTATTGATTCAAGCTTGGTTTTCTCCATATTTCAGGGGAATATATGCTACTTTATTGTTTGCGTGGTAAGGGAGGATGAAACCTTGTTTGTTGGTGACCACAACTTCAGAGTGATTTTTTAGAGGCTGTAGGGTAATATTTTTTTTTAAGTATTTCTTATTAATTTAATATTCAGGAGGTCGACTAACTAAGTAGCGGATCTTTTGTTGCTGATGAAACCTAGTATTTTACTTTTTTGATTTTTAGTGACTCAAAGATCCATTTGCTAACTTTGCACAGTATGAAAATTCAGTGGTGTTTTTCAGGAGTTGTACTTTGTATTAATAAATGCCAGACCTCTCTGGGAAACCTTATGGTTGGAGAATAAGAACAGAGGAGTTGGATAAGGAAGTAAGAGGATTTGTGTGTGTGAATTTTTGTGCTGTTTGTGGCATGACAGGTGTGGTCTGTCCTTCAGTATTGTGCAGGAAAATGGCTCAGAACATTTGTGTGAATGCCTGTTGAGAGGCAGGAATTGGAAACAAAATTGTCTGCCTGGTACCTCCCGTAATTATGAAGATGGAAATTGAAAGTGGATGTGAGAGAGTGATAACAGAAGTTACCAGGGAAAAAAACAAATCCCATTAAATTAATTGTGGCAGTTACTTGAGCTAAGGAAACCTTGAATTCTGAAGGATTTCCCCAAAGGGAGCTTGCAACTTTATACCACGAATGAGCTTTAAGTGCTTTTATTACTTGTTTTCACCAAATAGAAAGAAAGAAAATTTGTGAAGGTCAAGGTTTGGTTTTTTTTTTTTCAGATAATGCTTGTGAGAACCAACCGCTGTTAAAAATGAGTTGCAGTGTAAATGAAGCCACCTAAGATTATGAGGCAAATTTTGTTGTGTTCAAACCCACTTTGGAGAACAGAGCTGATCTTTTATCTTCACAGTGTATTTCTAACTAAGGGATTCTGTGTGCTTTGGCTGCCTTGAGGTTCAAAGTGCAAGTCCATACTGAATTCTGTCAAACAAAAAACTCTGTCTGTGCTTTTATCATGTTTTTGGAAAGCCTGGTCTTCTGTTTTTGGCTGAACCTGAAATTTTATCCAGTACTGATCAGGAGTTGTGTCCTTGCTTCCTTCTTGCTATTTGTGCCTGCTGCTGCTGTCCCCTAGTTCTGGACCTGCAATATCACATGAAGTGGTAGAAGGTGGAAGTGTGCCCACAGTTTACAGAGTTAAACCGGGCTAATTTTAAGCTGGTAGCTTGGGTTTTAGCAGCATAGGAGCTGAACAGCTTTTTGGAAGGGTAGCTAGCCCTACATGCAGAGCTGTCACAGCAGTGTTGCTGTTGTGGTCCAAACTGGGTTGTTTAAAGCAAGCTCGGATTTACCACGCTGAGCTGCAGTCACACCTCTTACAGCTGTGTAATTATAGTCAGATGTAGATATTGTGAGTGGACTTCTAAGGAAGCTGTATGTCTTGGGGAGTCTGGACTTGCTTGGCTGCTCATTTACTTATCCGATGAAGGAATTCAAATGTGACTCAGTTTCTTGCTGCCTCTGTAAAAGGGAAAGCATCTGGTCATTTCTTTTTTGTTTTAGAGCAACAACTATTTTAAATACTTTATCAGGCAGGATTGATATAATTGAAATAAAACCAGTAAGATCTGTTGATTGATGAAAAGATACACAAGTATTAGCCTGTAGTATCAAAATAAAAGTCCCTGATAATTGTGTCCACCTTGCCACAGCTCTATTTCAGATGTGGGGGATATAGCAGATAAATATAAATTAGATTTGTTGATTCTTTTCATTTGTTCCTCAGGTAGCCTCAATTAGATTAAAGCTATGTGCAGGACAAGAGCTAGTTTTAAAAACTCAAACAATCCATTGTGATTGTGTGTCCATGTATATGCATACACATACATATACATATACACCAAGAATGTACTTGTGTGGTTTTTAAGTATAGGATTTTCTAGATATTGATATCACAATACCTGTCTACCTAACAAATTATAGATTTGACCTCACAAGCTGAATTTCTAGCTCAGACACCGTGGCAGCATTTGATTTTGCACATACTGGAATGCCTGCATCTTCCATTGGCTACAGTTAGAACTGTAGATGTTGAGAACATTTGAACATTAGTTTATGAAATGGAAGCATGAAAATTAGAGGCAAGCTATGGAGCAGTTCACGAAGATACTTGGCACACGAGGAATTAGGGTTTCCAGTATAGTCTTTCATAAAAGATTTTTCCAAGGATCTACTCATGTGAAAGAGATGATTCCTTAAAATGTATTTATCATTGTACATAATGTGGTAAAGGTTTCATATCCACAATCTTTGTATACATTTTTGTCATTAGAAAGTTTGATTTCCTTGGACTCTTCTTTATGGTAACTTTCACAAAGTGTAAAAAATGTTTGAAATGTAGCAATGGATTTATTTTTATAAAATGCACTATTTTATACTTAGAAAGTTGATAAGAAGTGAGAAAGTTGTGTTCAATCTCTAATTTTCCATTAAGAAGTAGTATAGGTTTTAATGTCACCATGCAGTGCAGTCACCTAGTTTAAAACATCATTACTCTGTTTTTTTAAATGACTGTCTCAGTACTGGGAAAAAATGTATTTTTAATAGACTATGTTAGTAAATTTAATACAAAACTGGAGAATGCCCATACTCAAACATAATGTGGTGCTCCAAGTAGGAAATACCTTCTTATTTCAGAGAATGTTAGGGTTGTTTGGGATACCTAAACCTCTTTCGTGAAAACTCATTCAAGAGAGTTGTTTCAGTAACTTTCTTCTTATTGTAAAGAGGAGTTCATGAATATTTTTACTGTCAATGTCTATGTCAAACTCTGCTTTCTGAACAAGCAAAAAGAGTATTAAAGAAGTCTGTCAGCGCTCTGTTAGCCCCACTGAAACAAATTGCATCTTTACAAATATGTAAGTGCTGACTAAACAAATTAATTCTATCTGAAGCAACTGTAAGTTGGACTTTACCAAGCACATTTGAAAGAAGTTAATAAATTTTTCCGTTTCTGGTTGTGTTACAGAAGTGATAGAAAGCCAGACTTTGCTACACAGGTGTAGTCACTTTGGGAAGTACCTCCTTGCACACACAGTCATTGAAGTAAACAAGATTGCTTATTATGACAAGTGAAAATTGACAGGAGAAACAGTACAACTTTTAAAACAAAGGTGCTTAAAGAAAGTGCATAGATATAGTAAACGGATTTATTTTGGTAAGATTACTGTAGTGGATTTGAGCTCTCTTTCTGGGCATGATTCACATGTTTGGAATATAATGAGGGTAGAGTTACAGCAATTTGATTACTTTATGTTAAACTTATACCAGTCTATTCCTAAGGAGACAGTAACAGCAACAACTGGAAAGTAAATTTTTAAGTATGCTAAAGGCATAGAGAAAGCTCTACCAAATATTTGTGAATTTAGCTCAAAGTGGATTCAGATGCCCAAGTGTTGCGGCCAGTTTTTAGTCTCAGCCATAAATTTCATTCACAATGCTTTGCTGTTACCCATTTAAAAGCATCAATGTTGAGAACTGCTGATCACTACTTAGGCATTTTCTCTGTCATCCCCAGGAAAGATGTCTAGAGACCGGGCTCTGAGGAAGCAGCAACAATTGAATAATTTGGTAGCAGTGGTGACAAAGCTTGCTAAGCCTGGAGATGTGATTGTGGATTTTTGCAGTGGAGGGGTAATGTATATTTTTGTTCACATAATGCAATTTCTTAAGGCTTTCGTCTTTGCAGTTCTAGGTGGTTGCTGCCACAGAGTAAAGCAAAAGTACAAATGCTGAAATTTTAGCTGCTTTCAAAGGTTCTTGCACTGGTTAGGGGATGCTTATCACGTAATGAGTCAACAGCAAGGGACACCGAAATGTGACTCAGGTTTTATTGTTTGTTTTTGTTTTCACAGGGACACGTTGGAATTGTTCTTGCTTACATGATGCCGTCATGTCAGGTAAATTCTAAATAAAAAGTAGAGACAGTGTGAGCTTTTGGTCTCTTGCTAATCATCTTATAATGATGTACATGCAGGGAGAGTAAATATGAAGACACAGTTGTTTCAGCAGAGGACATAGATTTGAAACATGCAGATTTTTAGCATAATCCCAAATGCGTGCAGTGGTTTCCTGTGAAAATAAAAGTTATAGGAAAATATAAAATATTTAAGCTTGTTGGTATTGGCAAGTATTAAATGTCTTCCATTGTTGTTTGGTTTCCTGCTAATCATTTTGGAGATCTCAGGGTCTGCCACAAGTAATTTAGAGGTTTTCTCAACTGAACTACAAAGTTTTGTGCTTGTGGGTAATATTGTACTTTGATTTCTCGGTATTATTTTGCCTTACTTTCTCCTATGTATGAAATCTAGGTGGTGCTCATAGAAAATAAGGAGTTGTCTCTGGCCCGTGCTAAAGACAGAAGTGATGAACTAGGTTTGAACAACGTTTGGTTCATTCAAGCAAATTTGGATTATTTTAATGGGAATTTTAACATTGGGGTAAGTGTTTATAACTTTTCCACTTCAAAACTTCAGTGTCTGGTTAATTGTTCTTAAAATAACTAAAATATCTGAGAGCAGAAAATTTTGTATGTCCTTACAGACAGGTATTTTTGATGCTGCGAGAAAAACCCTGGTTATGTTAATCTGTATTAAGTTAGGTTTGTATTTATTATTTGTTGCAAATTGGCATTGCCTTTATATTACATGAGTGAAGAAAGAAGTGTCTGCTCCAATCAAATACAAAAATATGAGTGCTGCCTGACCATGTTAAAGAAAAAGTGGGGTAGGTTCTTGGTTTAATCATGTTATTTTAAAATCAGCAATTTGTTAGTGGATATACTCTGGAGAAGGTTTTGAAGACGGGAAGAGAAGACTACTGTTGCTCAAGTTAAGCCTAAGTACAGTAAAGTGAGATCAGAAGTGTAGTTAGGTGACAGTAGAAGCATTTTAAGATAAAGCAAACGAGACTACACGATGCAAAACAGAGAAGAAACTATCAGGACAGAGGAAATGTCATACTAGGGATGTACACATGTATTTAATGTGTAAAGTATACTCGAGCTATACTTACAAAGGCAGAATCGTATGTCAATTTCTAGGACTACTGCTGAGCATGCCTGTTGCAGTCAACAGGTGATACTCTGACTCCCAGTTAAATGTCAATGGGCAGACCAAAGCAGGAGTTCTGCAGGAGCAAAGTAGGTGATTTGAATACTGATTCAAAGTATCCGTATTAGACCCTGAAAGTAGGAGATGAATGTCCTCTCCAGAATTTTGCAGCCCTAGTGAAGAGCAAGGCATAAATAGTCTTTTGTAACTCTGTAAAGATTCCTGTCTTCCAGTTTTATATTCTGTTAATAGAATATGAAATGTTGCAGCAAGCCCCGAGCTTTCAGTGTGAGTCTGACTGTTCTTTAAATCATTGATCCAAGGGCCTGATTTGGCTGTAGCTGGCAACATTTAATACTGAAGGTTTATGATACATGAACAGTGCTGTGTAACTATTTGGATGCTTTATTTAATAAAGGAAAAGAAATATAGTGCAGAAGAAAGAGGAAAGAATGAATTATTTTAGCCCAGTCTTTCTAAGTGTACATTTCCAATTCTCTAGCTTTATTTTCTGTGCTACATTGTTGTATAAATCTCAGTGGATGAAGTAGAGATCTATTTTAAAAAAATCAGGATCTCATGAATGATTTACTGAATTCTGTGCGTGAAAAGTGTAATAATTTTTCAGTGAAGTGAGTCTCCATTTTTTTGATCATTGGAGTTCCTGTCTTCATTTTTGGTCTATTTTTAAGGTTAATACTAAGTTAAATATCTCTGTGGAGTTTCTGTTTAATAAAAAAGTGTTATATTCTCTCTTTGAAATTTTGTGACAAGGAAAATATTGACGTTTACGTCAGAAAAATTCACTTGGAAACTCTTGGTTTCCAGGCCTGTGATTTCAGGTTCTTTGGCTTGATTCAATAGTCTTTTCAACAGACAAACCTGGAACTTTCCCTTTTTGGGAGACCGGTATCAGTCTCAGCTTCAGAATTAGTTTGTATCATACCGTGATTCACTCTTCAGTATTAGCTCGCTAAGTCTGGATTAGCTTTCCTGTGCAGCTACCTTTCAGACAGGAGCTGGCTGGTTTACTGACCAATAGCGCAAATGTTTGGTGTGTTTGAGGGTAAATAAAGCTGCCTTTGTATTGTTGTGTCATAAACACTGGTCTGATACAAAAATGACAGTATAATACTGTAATACATAGATAAGTACAAAGTTTGGCAATGCATAATTCCTAAACCCATCTTCTGGGACTTACAAAGCTACTCGCACATTGTGTGACTTCACTATTTCCAGTAAAAAAACACGGTGTAAATGTGAGGGTGGACATGATGACAAAAAATGAATGTGACAGAAGTCCTCATCTCTGTGCTTTTGGTATTAGTTTAAAACATGTTTGTATGCATTTTAGTTACCTTGACATCAAACCTGCATTACTTAGCTATTTTCTTATCTGTTATCTGCCAGGAGTTCAAAAGCAGGTTAATAAAAATGTGTCAACCACTTCCCTTTTGCTGCACATAAAATTTCTGCCCTTATGAATTGTTGGGGTAATGAAGATCAAGGTTCTGAAACAACCTGAGTTCCAGAAGTACTGGTACGTTGTGCTGTTATATGTTGTAGTACAACTGCCAACCACAATAAGGGTTTTCAGTCTAAAAGTGAAAGCTTCCAAGTATTTGCATGCAGTGTTCATTTACATGCCAACACCTAGAGGAGTCTTTGAGATCTTAGTTGGTTTTAAAGCTTATGTAGTACTTACAGTCTCTCAGTTAATTTGTGAGAACAAGTTGAAAAGTTTAAGGTTTGTTTTGGGAGGGGGTATATTTTTGAGTGAGTTGAGATCTTTCTTTTTAAGATCACTAAAGTGAACCTGAGGTTTCATGAAGCATTCTTTTCCCTTCCCTTTTCCATGTGCACTAGGCTGTTCTGGGGAGAGCAGTAACACAGGGCAACGATCTCATGCTGCGTTAGCCCTGTTGCTCTCTTCAGGGGCCACTTTGTTTTCCTGTGTCCACATATGTGTGGATTTGTGAACAAAACGCATGATCTTCATTAGTCTTCACTTTTTCTTTTGTTTCAGATAGTGAGTTTAATACATAGGATATCCTGAGAAAGCTTCGTCTTGAATTTTATTTGTGATTTTTTTCACTTAACTAAATCGATTTTGAGAAACCCAGAGAAGAAATCAGTTGGTGTAAAAGTTCATACAGGCTCAGCAAAGCTACTGGTTTTATCCACTGCTCTTTTAAGCTCTGTTTTCCAAACCTTCCGGCAAAGCAGAGGTCTTTGTTTTCTGCTTGGGTAGATGAGGAAGTAACTCGAATTACATTCCACGGTAATCTAATGGCTGTGATATTAAGAATCTATTTCTGATTTTAAACTAGTTTTATTTATGTTGTTCATACAAGCAGAAAAATTTCATTGTGAAATTATTTTCTTATGAATTTTTTAATGTTCTGCTTGAGACAAGGATATTTGTTACCATCTGTATGCAGTTATAGTTCAGTTGGTGATTAATGGTCTGCTCAGCTGAGCTTACATCAAGCAGTCTGCAAACAAAAAAGTCTTTGTTTTAATCTATATCTGAGAGCAAAGGTTTTATCTTCCAGCTGCTGTACCTTGAAAAACAACTCTGAACCCGAAAATCTGAGCTTTGCAGTTTCAAACGTTTTTCCTGAATTTACAGTGAACAAAAAGCAAAGAAAACTGCAGTTTTTTACAAATCTGCACTGCTGCATAAAATTAAAAATGTGTCTCAAAATTGTCCTTAGTTTAATGAAAACATAGAGCAATGTGTATGCATCAGGCCTCCCCTTTGAGCTACTGAGTACATGGAAGAAGGCAGAGAAAGTAATGCCTCCACTTCACCTGGCCCATTTGGTATCACAGTGTTGCTAGGAGGAGGCTGCTTGCCTTTCCTTGCAGTACGTTGGGTACTGCAGTAGCTTGCCCTTCTGTAGGAGAGCGTGCAGGCTTTGGGTGCAATCTGTGCCCTGCCCAGACCCACGTCAATGCTTGCAGATAGCTGTTGTGATTGAATAGCATTCTAAGTTTAGTTTAAGAGCCTATCACTAAGAAGAAAGAAAAGAATAAGGAGGAAAAAGAGGGGGGCAAGCCGTATTTGATTCTCCCTTCCCGGTCTTTCTTTTCTAAAGTTTTTACTTAATACCTTACAATGAAATGATCATTTATGCATAAATGTTGTCCTTTAAATGTGACTTTCAGGTATACTGCTACATTGAAATCCGGTTTTGAAACAGTTCTTCGTACTTCTGAGTCCCTTTTACTTAACAAAAATTTGACTAATCACCATGGTAGTTTTTATTTCGATATTTTCCTGGAACTTTGTTTTTAATATATTTGATATCACGATACAGTGCACCTACCTTTTAAGTGCTTTTAGCGAGTGACCCTTGCTCAGAGTTGATGCTTGCCTCGTTAATGGAATAGGCCATAAATTTTCCTCAGCATAGATATGAAGGAGAGGAAGGAAAAATTGAGGAGTTAAGGGCCTTTGGCGTAACAGCTTTCATTGCAAAAACTTCCTCATATATTGAAGTTACTCAGTCAACCAAAAAAATACTGCAACAGGATTGTATCTGGAGTATTGCTATAAAGAATTGGCTTGGTTTTTTGTTTTTAACACTCTAGGTGGCTCTGCATGCGTGTGGTGTGGCAACAGACATGGTGATCGAACACTGCATCAAGGCACGGGCAGCCTTTGTCATCTCCCCATGTTGTTATGGCTTCATTCAAAACACAGTAAAGTTTAAATATCCGCGAAGGTAAACTAAAGCTCACAAGATAAGCTTTAAAGTATCAACTTGAAGGAAGAAAATACTAAAAGAGTGTAGAATTAATCAGTTAAAGACCATTGCAAGTGTCTAGGCTAAATTGGTTCACAGTTATAATGCAACTGTTTCCTCCCGTTTCTCTTTGCAAACCCATCCTCAAAGGGAGATGGATTGTTAATGCCTAGGTTATTTTTTTCTGGATTTATGTATTCATAGTTCAGCAGACTTTATACCATCAACATTGCAGATACAGTATGTGGGGATCTATGTAATGTGCAGACCTTTAACCTTGAAATCACAAAGTTAACAGAAAACTCATGAAAGTTACTATAAGAAGGGGAATTGACATTTTAATGTTGGAGAAAAATGTAAGCAATCAGCTTAAAGAAATAGATCTGGTTTATAACACAGTTTACTGCTTGTGAAACTCTTCTGATTTATTCCCAAGTAGACAAGCTCTCCTGTATTTCAGTTCATATTTTTAATGCTTTATCGATGGACTATGTAGATACTTTGTCTTCTTCAAATCTGCCATGTTGGAGATACTTAGGTATATCTAAGGCTTAAGAATTTTAGTGACTTTGATATAAACAAAGTGTAAAAGGTAGGCATAAAGTGGCAGAAGATAGGCTAACAGCATTCTAAGGCAGAACTAGATGGGGGAAGAGGGTTGTGGGTTTTTTTTTCCGTAAAGCTGAGCTTTGCATTTTGGATGTCTGAGATGAATCAGATTTAATTCTACTAGGAATTACAACATTGTCTTAGGTATATATTTGCTAAAAGAAGAAACTGAAACATGCTGTCTTAAAAGGGATGAACAAACCTAAAAAAATCTTATCACAGAATCACAGAATGTTCGGGGTTGGAAGGGACCTCTGTGGGTCATCTAGTCCAACCCCCCTCCCAAAGCAGGGTCACCTACAGCAGGCTGCACAGGACCTTGTCCAGGCGGGTCTTGAATATCTCCAGAGAAGGAGACTCCACAACCTCCCTGGGCAGCCTGTTCCAGTGCTCCGTCACCCTCAGAGGGAAGAAGTTCTTCCTCATGTTCAGATGGAACTTCCTGTGCCTCAGTTTGTGCCCCTTGCCCCTTGTCCTGTCGCTGGGCACTACTGAAAAGAGTTTGGCCCCATCCTCCTGACACCCACCCTTCAGATATTTATAAGCATTTATAAGGTCCCCTCTCAGCCTTCTCTTCTTCAGGCTGAACAAGCCCAGCTCTCTCAGCCTTTCCTCATAGGAGAGATGCTCCAGTCCCCTCACCATCCTCGTAGCCCTCCGCTGGACTCTCTCCAGCATCCATGTTAAATTATTATTAATATAAATTATTTATTATTAAATTAAATTATTAATGTTAAATTATTATGCATCCATGTTAAATATTTTTCTCTAAGTGTGCTGTCACTGAAGCGTGTAGAGTGTAAATATTTAGAATTTGTCAGCTTGATAAACTTTGCATTGAACAGTGTTTTCTTAGTCAATATGATTCTTCCATCTCTTTGTGTGTGTCTAGTTTTGTTTTCTCTTGTGACACGGTAAAACAAATAAGTATTTTTAAGCCTTCTAAAGTTAGCAGGCATAGAGTGTTTCTCTGTTGACTGCTTTTAAGATTAACTGGATACTGTTTAACTTTTGACCAGTTACGTTTTCAGATCATGAAAACTGGAAATGCTCATAGGGTAGAAAACTTCTGTTGCTGTAGATGCTGCAAGAATGTAAATTATGGTTTTTTGTTTGCTAAAATTTTGAATCTAACATTGTAAGCCTATATGGAAAATTATCAGCCCTAGCTCGAGCTACATTTTAGAGTTTGCTTTTTCTTTTTTCCTTAGTTGCTATGATCATAGAACGTGATAGCCTGCCAATATGCCCATATTCCCCATGTTCTGTACTCAGTTGCATTGTACGGTCACCTTACTTTTGTGATACAAACAAAATACATGCATGCATAGGGGTTGTGTATAGGTGACATAAAGAATTTATGTGACAACATGGAAACGCCAGTATATCTGTGTTAGCATTTATAATGATTTAAAGAAAGAATTTTTATGAATAATACAATAGGGAAAAAATAAGACAATACCAAATACACTTCTCCTTTTCTAGTGAACTGGAACTGTAATGGTTTCGGGGGGGGTTTTAATGCCTTTCTGTAGGATACACATATTGCTATTTTGTTTAAAATGTGTTCAAGTATGTAATGATTGCTTCTATTTTTCACCTCTGCGTCTTTAGATGTTAATTGAATGGGTCTGTTTTTCTTTTCAGTCATCAGTTCAAAGAAATTTTGTCCTACAAGGTATGAAAAGGGTTGGAGGGGGGCGGTTATGTGCAGTTTCCTGTGTTTCACTGGGTCTTCTTATCAAATGAAATATAAGTGGTTATCTTTTCCGTGCAAGGAGGAGCATGTGTTATGTGACATGTTCATTAGTAGTGCAAATGTCATTGTGTTGCTTTCTCTCCACTGTCCATTTTTTAAGGCTTTTTTTCTTCAGTCAAATCAAATGGTTTCTCCACAAAGGAGCTTTCTTTATCATAATGTATGAGCAAGCCGTTCCTAAGATACTTCAACATGTATCGGTTAACAATTACAGAATACCAATTTATTTAGGTCTTAAATACAACTGTTGATACTGTGGAAATGTCTGATCATTTTTTAGGTAAAATTACTGCTTTTGTAGATGCTATTTTCTGATAAACATTAGATTTCTCCTTCTGATTTATGTCTAGAAGGCTGGGCATAGTGAGTAGGAAGAGCTCATACTCATGAGCAAGAATTTTATAAAATATTGCTTTAAAAATGTTATTTGAAATTATTTTTTAAATATGCAAATATGTTTTAACCCTGGGGAGCCAGGATCTGTGTAGAGATAGTATTGGAGAAAAGTTGTAAGAAAGAATCAATGAGGCATGTAGATCTGGCAGAATGAAGACAACGGAGGAGTGAAAAAGGACAAGAGCAGAGAGATGGACAGCAGACGCCTGGTACTGATCTGTTAAGCTTTGTCGAGTGCATTTAAACTAGCTAGTGGTGAGCAACCAGAAATTTGGAAGTTAAATGCACTTAATGTGACATGGAAAGAAAATGTTTCCATTTGAGAGATGCAAGGCTGTATATAAACTTTACTGAGCTTACATGTCAAATCTTAGACAAGGGTCGTGGTGTTTACAATATAGAAATGAATTTTGGAGATGCAGAAATACGAGAGATACACGGTATTTCCACTATCCAGATGTTTTTTGGGACAGTGAACGTAGCAAAGATGCTATATGTTGCAGGAAAATTGAGCTTATTCTTTTTAACCTTCAAGTAAGAGGGCATTTTAAAAATTCAGAAGATTTCCAGCCATCTTATATAGAGAAGTGCAGTTATCTGGTAATACATTAATCTTATCTTCATGACAGTCTGCTTTATGTACACTTTACTAATTTATATGGAAATAAATGTCCGTAGATTGAGATAAAAGCAGCACAATGGATTTGGACCTGCCATTATTTTTACCCTTGATTAACATTCTTTTCAACACATTTATATGTTTCTAACACATAATCACAAAGAACTCAGGTTTCAGTTCAGAAAAAGTTTATTTACTAACATAGTATTAAAAGGAGACCTGTTGACAGTATAGAGGGAGATGATGTCAATTATAAAGTCAAGGATGCCTAGATTAGGGTAGTGTGTGTAATCTCATTAAAGCTCAGTGAATTTTTTTCTTAATCTGTTAATCCCTGGAGGTTTAAATCACAGGGTTTGTCAACGCTATAGAAGTTCCAGTATTTTATTATTTGTGTTGCAGAAGGGCACAGGGGGCAAGGACAATGCTAAAAAATATTGCTGCTCTTAATAATGTAAGAGTCTATGCAAACAGTCTAGGCTGGTTGGTGCCTCAAATAATCCTAGTTATAAATAACTTTTGTTATACAGCTAGCTATATGCATTTTTATATTTCGTATTAATAAATTGTTACAGGTTATTGGCTAGTAGCCAAAGCTGCCATGTGTTAGCCAGACGTTGTCTGTGTCACCGCCCTCCACTTCCCATTTTAAATTCATTTCTCTTATCTTTCGTTTTAGTGAGATCTAAAAAGACATCCAGAAGTCTGGCAATTCCAGAACTGTTTTGATGAGAACATTATGCTGTAATTCATTAGTTTATAGCTGCAAAGAATAAGGTTATGATAGCTGTAGATTTCTACAGTGATGCATTTTTGAGACTGTTTGTCAAGCCACTCTCCCTAGAACAGAATTGGAAAGTAAAACTGAAAAACTTTGCACGTACAGCTTTGAAAAATTAACAGGAATTGAAGGTGTGGATATTCTAGTAAGCAACTTAACTGTATAAGCACACACGAAGTTCGGGCAGTTTATAATTAGTATCTTCATTGTTTTAGAAATGCTTTTCTTCTAATTCTACCGACAGGCAATGTGACAATTTAATGACTGTCATGGGGAAACGATGCAATGATAACTTAGGCGCTAGTTTAACTTTTTGGATCATCTTAGAAGGAAGCCAAGGCATTAGAGTCAGTACAGATTTTCAGGTTAAGTAGCGAGGCTTACCTTGGCTCTGGTCTAGTCGGATGAGCTGAGAACCTGATGTTGCCAAGAACTGGGTTGTGTTGGGTGCCTGAAGGCTGGTGAGGGGTTCTGTGCTAACGTGGATCTTCTCCCTCTCCTCTGAATCTCTCTTTTTCTCCCCAAGCTGCCTGTCACTGCTGCTTCTCTCCTAACAGCAGCCATATTGCCTGTGGCTCTCCTTCTTCTCCATTCTTCAGCAGTCACATCTGGGTTTAATGTTTTCAGCTCTTTTGCATTACAGAAATAGTCGCGTTTGAACTGAAATTACTGGGCATAACATGTTTAAGTCCTAAACATGTTATAAGATGTTCTTATTTTGTTTTGCATATTTCTTACGGAGCTGTGAGCTGCAAACCTTCATGTGAATGAGCTGTACTAGGGAACAAATATCCCTGCCTCAAGATATTGTAAAGTTATTTAAATGAGTAATATTGGAGTATCAAGTAGTGATAATATTTTATTTTATAATATGTGGGCAAACTTTTTTGTGGTCAGCTGTCTATTAAATTTATGAATTGGATGGAGTGTACTGTGGAGGCAGTTACCATCTTGATTTAATATGAAGATGGGATTTTATTCAGGTTTTATATGAAATGAAGACTTTGGATGCTTATGTCCCCCGAATAAAAAGCTGGAGTAAGTATCCTTACTTCAAGATACCGAAGGAAGCTGAAGTATCCTTGAGTGAAGTTGCTCTCTCCATCTGTTTCAGGAACCAAACCTTTAAAGTAATGATTTTATATCAGGAAAGAATTAAAAAAAAATAATTCTTTTTGATGCAAGACATATATCCTCTTTTCAGAACTATAGCTCTGGAAGCTTTGCTTAGCAGAGCACTTTTTGTTGTTGTCTATTTCTGTTTGCTCCATATGACATTGTAGGAGACTTGGAAATGTTGTATAGTTCTAAAATGGTTCTGATTTACTATGTCCTGTACTTAATATTGCAGCTGTCCCAAAGAGCACAGCTGTCATCAAAGCATTAATTTCATTGCTACACCTTCAAAGCTTTTTCTCTCACCATCTGGCTAACTTGCCTTCCTTGGCTTGGCTGGTCTTTGAGAAACCATTATGCCAGCATAGGCGGTGTTTTTTTGAAGGCAAATGAGGATGGGGTTCTGCCTGCTTGTGTAGTGATCTAAACTGGGAGTAAGGTGGTGGGGCTAACCCTCCACTGCATCATACCCCTGGCTGTCAAGACATGAGAAATCAACAGCAGCTGTTGTAGAAGCCTCTGCAGAAACTTTAAGTGGAATAGGGATAGTTTGAAAGTAAATAGTACTCATTTTGATGTAGGAAACTTTCATGTTCACAGCCAAGTATTTTTCGCCTTTAGGATCAATTTTACCTTCGAGATCTTTTGGGCTGGCAGAGCAGAGGAAGTTTGACCCACAGGGTGATTCCTCAGGGATTCAAAATCAGTGCAAGTAGTTCAAATCACCTATTTAAGAATTTTGTCTTGGCTGCTTGTTGATGCAGAGATGCTGCCCCATGATGACTGTGCCAAAAGAAGGCTGTGTTGCTCATCAGTAATTGAAGGCATAATTAGTCTGCAGTATGTCTTTGAAGAATGCTGTCTTGTATACATTGCATCCAGTTCAGGTGCTGCAGAGAATTAGAGGAAATTTAGCAAGAAACATGTGAGTAGAAATGTGGTTGTGGTGACAAACACTTGATTTACGCACATATTTACAAGCCAAAGCAGTATCAAAATTAGGATTTTCATGCATAATCTTTCTAGAAATAGTCTTCAACATGATAATGTTTTTGATATTTTTAAACATTTAATTAGATTTTTGTTACTTTATTTGGAAGAGGGAAATGCTGCTGGACCAAATTTCTTTTTTTTTTTTCCTAGGAGCATATGATCCTTTGCAGATTTGCAGATCAGACGGCTGTTCAGCTTCCACCTGAACGCAGGCTAATTGGTATGAATTTCTGCAGATGTTGTGTAAACTATCTCAGTAATGATTTTACTTTGATACGTAGAGGAAGTAGCAGTACATTTATGAACAGGTCATTAAGTTGCTGTCTTCACATAACACTTGAAAAATTTGAGTTTCTTCACATTTCACCTCTTGCTGTTCTGAACTATGGTATAGAAACTCTTTTCTTCTTTCAAAACTATCAATATGAGATAGAGGGTTTGCATTTTACTGATTTTTGTTGCTTCACCTTTTTTTTTTTCTTCTCCCACCATTCTCTGAAAAGAATGAGGTGTTTTTAAAGTTCACTAAAGTCCTGCTATTCCCAGTTTATCTTACATTAAAAGCACAGGCTATTTGTAGTAGTGATTTTCAGTGTGCAGCTTTTGTCCTCCTTGTAATCGCTGGTGATAACTCTCTCAGAAGGGCAAACGTAATGCCAACTGGAAACAATAAGGCTGAGTTGCAGAGGTTGGGCTACCTTTGGTATAGGTAGGCTTAAGAGCATACAAACCTATTTGGCCCACCTCATTATTAGAATCGTCATAATTTTAGAAAAAACACAGGAGGCTTCCTGAGATTTTTATTCTTTTTAATTGTGAGTAATATTTATAACCTGAACACTTTGCAAGAACACAGTTTGTCTTACCCCTTACCTGGGGTACCAGCCTTCCCGTTGAGGGGAAGCTAGTGTTATAGCTACAGCAGTGCATGACTCAATTTTTACCTTTCGGTAATCAGTTGTTTCAGGCTTGTAATTTATTGCCATTCTGAGTAAGAGCAGCTGCCTTCTGTTGAGTCATTTCTGTGCAATTAACAGCAGAAGTGTGTTGATCCCTGAGATTTTAGTTTCTTCGTCAGGTGTCAATGATTTCTGAGGAAAAGAAATACAAGAAGCTGTCCTTAACACAGTGGGAATTTCATTACTCAGAAGGACAGTAAAATACATAACACTTCAAATATTTGGAATAAGCAAAGCCATTTCTTCATTACGTGCAACATTCTAGTATGCTTTGACTTACAAAGGGGTGTAAAGTGCTCCTGTCTAAGTGTTCTGATAGAAGCTATAAACTAGCTTCCAGGTCAGAAAAGACAGAAGGGGCTGCGAACTCTCAGGATATACCTGTGCATTCTTGGCTTGCAAGAAACACTTAGAAAGCACATTAAAGCAGTAGTAGCAAATATCATAATGTTTTTAAAAAGCTTCATAAGTATTTCATATACTCACTGCCCAAAAAGAAAATAAGACAGATTCTGACGTAACTGTCTATTTTATAATAGATTTGTTGGCTATTTTGTTATCGTCATATTTGAAAAAAATTTTTTAAAAAGGGCAGAGTTCAGTTACCAGTGTAGCACCCCACGTTGTGTCCTGCTGCTTGCCAGCTGGACTGAAAATTGGAAAAGGACCCAAAAAACTTTTTTGAAATATAGCAACTTTTATCTGTTCTCTGTCTCTGAAACGGCAATTTTTTTTCACAAATTTAACTTTTATGTGCTTTGCCTTGACAGAAAAGCAAACATAAATCTTATTCCTCTCCCTTCCCCTACATCATTGCTTTTTCTGTTTTAAAGAAAGTTACTTTTTCTTTATGTTCTATGTAATACTAATCTGTTTCAGTGAAGATCATTCCTATTTCAGTGTTCTGTTTCAGCTTTGAAACTGGTTTTATGGGAATCTTGTTGGGGTACTTTTAAGTTTTGCTTGCAAATAATTGAAGATTGAATCAGGTCAGTATTACAGCCATGGTGAGATTTTTTTTTTTAAATTAATTTTGTGCAATGCATGGTCAGGTATTGAAAAAACTGTGTAATTTCATTTAATGAAAATATTGATGAACAGCTGGAGACTTTTTCTTTTCTGTTGTAAATGGTGGCAAAATGACTCCTGCTAGTTTCTGAATATTTTAGGATTGTGTTGTAAACTGTATTTTAGCAATTACCACTGAATTTATGCAGCTTCAGTGAAGTGACAAATCATTTTGCTTAATTACCCGAAAACCCCTGAAGTACTGAAGTACAGTATGCTGTCTGTGACTGTCATGGCTGCAATAACACATTTGTCAAAGGAGTTACCACCAATTTCTGTAGTATCGGTGAATGTAAAAATACACAGCTGAACCCAGGTCTGCTACACACAGCAATTCCCTCTTAAATGAACAAAATTCTGTTTCCCATTTTCACTGAAGATGTGTGTTTTATCCGATGTATGCAGCAGTGGGACCTGAGTGCAGACATACCGAATGGTTTTGTGAACATCGCTGCTGCCCACGTGATTTGTTCTGTCTGATCACAGAACTGCTCCGTGTATTTCACACGGTCTGACTGAGAGCACGCGGCGAACCAGGCCCCTGTTGCAACAATCGCAGCTCCCCTTAGTGTGTGCACTTTGAATAATAATGATATTGCTGTCAGTGGCAGGAGCGTGTGCATGCCATTTTGTTCAACCAACCGCAGTAGGTGATTTTCTATGAAACAACAAATGTAAAATAGTGCCAGAAGAAGTAATTTATAGAGATCTGCCCTGGTTGGTTGTATAAACTGGTTATTTCTCCCTGCAACATTAAATTCATACAGGGCTGAGTTTAAAAGTTCTTTTTCAGTCCTAACCTTATTGTTGTATCTCTAAATTGTCTCTTTCCTAATTACTACCCCTCTCAAATTCTACGCCACCAACAGAACAGAGTCCAAATGTCATAATGTTGTTGAAGTCCCAGTAGTGAATTTCTTTTGTAAATAAGGAATTAATCTGAGAAGGAGAAAATACTTCTGTCAGCTCACTGTGGAAAGACAAAATAGATTGGACTGACTACTGTATTAAAGTGTGATGTGCACCAGCTATTGTGAATTGTGAGGATACTGAGAGGCATGGTTGTGCCACCCACACAAAACTTCTACAAGCACTGAACAGGTGCATACCAGGGCTTGTACAGGCGCTCAAGCTCTGAATATATTCAGGGGAGAGACGTAGGCAGTTCCAGAGGGTAGTTTGGAATGACAGACTTGTATTCTGATGGTAAACAGAATGAGTGCTACTGTATCTTCCCTTCATCTCAGATCCCAAATATATTTAACTGTATGATATTGTTAGGAACAAGAAAAGAAGAAAGGATCGTTGGCTTTGAGACTGAAGCAGGATTGTGAGTTGAGACTGTATGACTATTAGCAATAAAACATCTCAGGGAGGTGCTAAATCTTTCTTGCAAGAGAGTAAAACTGCTGAAAATACGATCTGACAAATCAGTTCAATTATAACGAGTAAATATGTAAAGACAAATGGCCCCATCATCTTAGCATGGCTGTATCATAATACAAACTTAGCAGAAAAAAACCTTGAATTTATCCTTCCCATTTTTTCTGCAGGTAAATCTGAGATAAGATTAGCTTTCATTAATAATTTAGTATTTTTGTTTATAAGCAGTTACATTCATATGTCTCAAATCAATTACACTGGATTACTGTTTGGTATTTTAGTCTTTTATTGATATTCAATAACCAGACCTTTTCAGATTTTAGATGAAAAGTACAGGAGGAAAACAATTATGCTTATAAAGGGAGTAGAACTTTGGCAAGTCAGAGAGCTAAGGGGTAAACTAGGCATTTTTTTTCCTTCCTGTGGCTTTTACAGTAATGCATGGATTTTTCTGTAAGTTTTGAGAATACTTAAAAATAGTTGTGCTTGTCACATATCTCTACATATAAAAAGTTATTAATCCTTCTAATCAAAGATGTTATTTTAAACTATTAATGACTGTCTATTTGAAGTAGAACAGATTAAGATAGTTTTTTAAGTGGGTTTGGAGCTTACTTTTTAGATGACTTAACTGATGTGTTTTCGTAACATTGAATATTGAAATGCACGTTTCTGATGATGTTTCTACATTTTTAGAGTTTCCATGCTCTTCTTTGCTCTCATTTTAGGAAAGCAGTGTATGGGGCTTGTGGATCTGGATCGGGCATGGGCTGCAGAAGAACGTAACTACTCTGTCCAAGTTATATCTATGGAGCCAGAGAGCTGTTCTCCAAAGAACAATATGTTTGTGGGCATCCCTACTTAGAGTGTGAAACTTGCATTTGATTTGACATTGAGCATAAATCTTCAGTCCGTAATGACATCCAGCAGATACAAGCATAGCTGGGGACTAGACATCATGCATCTTGAACCCATTATGTTCGGAAAAGGAAGCAACACAAAAGGTCTTAGAAAGTGAACTGCATGCAGAGCATCACAAGTCATACTTGTAATGTGTCATTAAGCAACTTTTGGTTCTCTTACTGAGAGGTTTCTGGATCTAATGACTGTGCATGGAATTATCTGTAAAGGTTTAGAAGAAAGTTGGTGTCGTTGAAGGGAAGAGGATTTCCTTTTTCGTAAAGTTCTCTTGGCTGCTTCGAAATTGCATTCGTGGTCAAAACTGCGTTTGTGTTCATAAGCAGAGCAGTTACCAGCCAACAATGCAGATCACTGGAGGAACAGAAAAGATCAACTTTATGGTGTTAGTGAAGAAGGCTGTGCAACAGGTGGTGGCTTGACTTTGCTAAAGAATTCTGTACTAGTGTAGGAAGATTATTTTTAATGAAAGTTCCTCAGAATATTTCGGTCACCATTCTGCTTATCAAAAATGTATTCTAACTTACCAGTCTTTTTAAAAAGACTTAAAAATTATCTTTAAATATTACACAAGGATTTTGTAACCAGGCATTTGAAAGTGTGTTTCGTTAAAGAAGGCAAACCCCCTAATTATCCATTGGCCAGATAACGGGCGCTAGTGATGATGTCAACGAATGGATACTTCACTGCCACCTCTGCTAATTGAAGTGTATTGATTCCCATTCTGAAGAAACTTGCTGTCAGAAGACATTTTTAATGACAGTTCATGTGCCTGTGTACATCATCTTCATTGATTTTATATTCAGTTTAAAATTTGAACAAAGTTGCAGTTGTGGAAAGTTGTGATTATTTTAAAAGATCAGTCACAGTTATGTTACTGTAAATTGAAAATGAATGTTCCTCTGTGCTCTGAGTAGACAGTTTTCTACCCGAATTTAAAATCATCTGTTGACACTAACACAGTGGAAATAGCTCCTAATGAGATTTTTACTGCATGTTTATAGGTTTGATACATTTGTGAATTCTGAAATGGATTAATTTAAATATATCTGAAGTTTGGTTAATGTGAACGTATCTTCAGTGCGTGTGGCAAACAGAAATACAAACGAGGTATTGGAGGAAAAAAGGGATCCTGAAATATTTTATTTTTCATGAAACTTATATCTATAAAAGATCTAAATACTTGGGGTTTTTTAATGTGAAGACTGAAGGAAACTGCACATGTATTTGGAAGCACAAAGATGAGCAAGTAGGTATGAATTCATACCTTTAGCCTGAGTTCTTCGGTAGATAATGACAGAGTACTTTTTCTGCAGGTTCTTATAGTTAGAGGAGTAACTGGAGGTTAGAAGAACGTATACCAAATACAAAATATATGGCAGTACCAATTGCCTCCAGGATTTTCTCTCATGCTTGCCCAAAGAGAACTCAGTTTTTGAGTTAGCAGTGTGTAAAATCAGAACGTTATTCATGTTTAATTACTTTATTTAGATCTCCAGATATTATGTCTGGAGTGAGAAAATGCCTCTTCATTACCTTTTTATGCTGAAGGAAGGACTCATCAAGGTGAGACACCTTATGCAAGCTTTGATGGAGTTTACAGTAAGGGTTTTCACAATGCTGTACTCCAGGCAAGGGGTACCAGTATGAATGTTTTAATTATGGAGAGGTTGAATATTTGGCATGGTCTGATGTTATGCAATTGTAAATAGCTTTCATGGAGAAAAAAAAATCTATGCTGTTACATGCTTCAAAATTTCTGCAATATCTGTCTCAATCGTCTGTAATAGTGTTTGGATCTACCAGAAAAGAAGGAATACGTTTGGGGTGTGCCACAGGGAGCATGTGTGCCACTGGATAAAAGATAAAAATGGCTTTTTTAACAGGCAAGACCAGTATCTCTTGGAAACAGAGGTGGAGAACAAGCTTTATTTGGACAAATGTTCAAGAGGTTCTTACGTACTTGGCACAGTTAAGTAGCTGACGTCACACAAGAATCCCAATACCAATCTCTATTTTGTTTGGGGTTTTTTTCCATTATTTTAAAGTACGTGTTTTAATATTAATGACACAGTTTCCCACAAGTGTTGCTTATTTGTGACTTAAATTATTTTATATCTGCCACCCCACATAGAACTAGGCTTCCCAAGAAGAAAAGGTTTATAGAAGGAAGGGAGAAAACCTGCAAAACCAATGCTGTGTTTATACGCATGACATCCCATTTTTCTTGGATGAGCCAAACTATAGAAAGTGAGTTTGTGACAGACTTTTTTTTCCATATGTCAGGGATATTTTGATGGAATCTAATAGTATGCATCATCTTGGTGGCTTACAGGATAGTGAAACTGCATCCTGTGTATGATACTGCTTGGTGACCTTGTCACTGGTGGCATCAGTGGGCTCTGCTTCTTTTCTTCTCAGAACAGAATCTTCCTCATGTCTAAGGATAGAGTTACCTTACTATGAGTAGTAAAGCCTGAACTCCACCTGAGGTCAACTGGTGTTTTGTTTATTGAAAACTGAAGAGAAGCAGATGGAAAAAAAAGCATAAAAATAAGATATTTTCAACAGCTGATAATGGCTAATTTACCACAGATTAAATTGCCACTCTGTACCATGTGCTTGCCTCTAGAAATGTGAGCTCAATTATATTAATTTTTAGGTATGTTCATTTGTTACATGTTTCCATATACATAAATGGTATGCAATTAATAGAGCGTAGAATTCCCCTAAACAAGGTGACTGGATGTCATGGTCCTGGTAAGTGAACAACTGCTGTGGTTTCTTCTAGCAGCTTGTAATGCAAAGAGCTAGCTTGATGTCTGAGATGCAGACCTGAATACTGTTTGTGTTTCTTACGTGTCTGGCCCCACTGGGACCAGCTGTAGTGTGAACAAAACGATGTCCTAACATAGTCATAATTTTCCTTTGTCTTGCCAGTCGTCTTTTATATTACCTGTCTTGCCATTAATGCTGGAAAAAGTAAGTTTATAACAGGAAACAGATGACCAAACTGAACTGAGCTCCTCTGTGTGTTGTTAGTCATCTGTGTGTACATGTATCTTTATTTTTGTTCTTTCATTTTGGTCTTTATCGTGTTAATTATCTGCTTCCTCAGTCCTATTTCAAGAGTTGTTAGTATTGCTATATTTAAGCATGGGGGGTAATAAACAAGGGACGTTCCGAGTAGGTACATTGTGCCCTCTAATTTTTCTGTGGCTAGGTCTTAACAAAAAAAAACAACAAAACAAACAAACAAACAAAACACATACAAAAAACAACAAAAAAAGTAATGTTGGTATTACTCTGCTAAACCAATCTATTCATTTTTTTTTTTCTTAAATGAAAATTACATGTGTTGTCAAAATTACCCATTGGTCCTTCTTACAAGGGCACATATAAAATGATTCATTTGTAGGGCTACCGTAAATTTTAGACGGATGTTTTCTGTTTCTGATTATTGCTTGACTTTCAGCTACCTGGTTTGAAAAGGCAAAATAATAATAAGCAGAAATGTCTTTTTAAATAGCTGTCTTCCTAGGTCACATGCTATGCCAGGTATTCTTATTGAAAAGTACAATTAAAAAAACCTGTATGGTCAAGTATGTACGCATGTAGGTTTGAGCTTTAAGTAATCTGCAGTGAAATGGCACACAGCTGATTTTATAATGGATTTTATATGCATATTATTTTGGCTAGACACCATCAGCTGCAGCTGTTTTCTGTCAAGATTTTGGTTTAGGATTAGTAATTTACCCTTTCAGTGAAAATATGGTTTTTTTTAAAGAGTATTGAGCTAGAAAAGCATTGCTTAGCAAAAGGTAAATGAGCAGCTGAAGTGTTGGTTTTAGTCTTAGTGCTTAGTTGCTTAGTTGTCAGCAGAAAGAAAAGCACAATTTTTTCCTTTATGTCTATTCAAATACTACTTTCAGTGGCTTTGTCTAGGAACATTGGCCTGTCATACCGAACTCCTGATGTACAATCTCAGGTGAAGTTCCTGTGATTTTATTACTAATTTAAAAATAAAAAAGTGATAACCTAGATATCATGCATGTCTATGTCTTGTGTCAGAAGAGTTACTTACATGCCTCTTTAATAAAATGAAGAAAACCTCAGAACTTTCCACGCTCAGACTTGCACCTAAGCTACCTGACTATAATGGTTTCCATTCAGTAGCTTGTCCTTAGCATGTTTCAGCTTATTACAACTATCATTAAAAGAAATTCAATTTCCGAAGTTAGTAATATACTAAGATTATATGCAAACAGTAAAACTAAACCAGTAAAACTAAACTTGTTTGTAGCTTTTAATTACTCAGAAATTTAATGAGTAATGAAGTGTCCTGCTCTACATTCTTCTCCTCAAATTGAATTTAAGAAAATAACTGTATTTTCAAAATTCCCCTGATAAGCCTCATAAGGAAGCCACTTAAGGAAGAGTGTTTAGAATAGTTTTGTAACAAATCACTCAGGTCATTTCTGAGTGAAAACAGAACAGTTTTTAAACTTTGTGTGTGTCAAGTGGTATATTTCCTTGTAAGTCAAAAAAATTTTACTTAAATGTTCAAAATTTTCACTTTTTTTTAAAGGTGCTAGTGGAAATGTTCATTTTATGGGAAGTGAGTGATATTATTTGAGTATTCTTGTTAATTAAGTAATCATTGATTCTAGAAATTAAATTATTGACTAATTCTATGCTTTTTCCCCTTCAGACTGTATTTTACCTGATTGTTGCTGATCTTTCATAGGTTTGCACAACATCAGCTGTGATGTAGCCTTTGAAACAGGTTTTCTAATGATGCAGTTTTACTAATACTGAATATGACTACTGATTTTAGTGCTAGTCCTTTTTTTGAAAAAGAAAAAATTTTCAGTGTCATTGAGAAATATGAACCTGTTGTATGAATTGAAATGTACGTGTATTGCTTCAGCAGTTTTACTGTCACATCCTTGTGATAAATTTGTCGTTCTTCTTTGAGTGAAAGATTTCCCTTCAGCGTTAAGATTTTGAAGAGCACTTACTCAGGATCCATGAAGGTTGAAATCACGGCTGCACTGAAGATGGCAAGGTCTCCATGATACTGAGGACAATAGGTTTTCATCCACTGACTTTCAAACACATGAAACATAACATTTTTATTATTTTTGTGTGCTTGAGCCCCTTCTGTGCATAGACTCCATTGTTGTATTTGAAAAGTTTTAAGGTGTTTCTATTTTAAAAACACCTGAGCTAGCTTCAAATGTAAATACTAATCTTTTGGGGGGTGAGGGGAGTTCAATTGATCTTTTGAGAGGATGAGTGAGATTTGGCTAATAGAATCTGTAATACCATAGTGGAGGTGTGACTTCTGCTGAAAGCTCTTGAACTGTTTTATGTATATCGGGCTTGAACAATGGCAGAATCCTGCAGTTCTCTAGGTTGCTACGGTAGCAGAATGGAGATGCAGTAGAATGGAAAATGAGTATGCAATACAGAGCTAGAACA